AAGTAATTTTAATTCTAGATGACTACAATATCTATCGAGCATATGATTGCTGTAGAGTTTACATAGGATATATAGTTTCAGTAGCACTAAGGTGTGAGCTATATAGCACTGAGGTATGCCCTACATAGCTACTATAGCCATGATAGTACCCTCTATAGCACCTATAGCACTATGATAGCATTGGCTGGTGGATATTTAGCACGGGTAGCAAAGGACATCGCTATGGACCTATGGAGGCTATATGGGACTATGTAGTGCCATATAGTGATCTAGATTTTTTCAGATGTAGTGCGCCTGCCCTCATGCCCATTGATTACACATCCCCTAGAACGGTAGTACTATCGGTCGACTCAAGCCAAATAGCCGTCGGGTTTGTGTTATCTCAACGAGACGAAAACGGCAAGAAGCGACCAGCTCGATATGGCTCCATTCCCATGAACTCAGTAGAAGCTAACTATAGTCAGCCCAAACTCGAATTGTATGGTCTATTCAGGGCGCTGCGGCACTTCAGATTGCATCTAGCAGGAGTGAAGAACCTGGAAGTGGAAGTGGACGCTTTATACATCAAGCAGATGCTTAACAACCCGGACTGCTTCCCCAATGCCACAATAAATCGATGGATCCAAGGCATTCTCATGTTCCCGTTCAAACTCGTACATGTTCCGGCAACGCGCCACCAAGCCCCTGATGCGCTGTCTCGTAGAGAGCCACTGCCGGAAGACTCTGAGAACCCTGATGATTCCCCAGAAACAGCGGACGAATGGCTCGACAGCATTGCACTAGCTGTCACCACACAAGGAGAAAACATCCTCAAGGTCCCAATTGACAGTATGACTCCGGCGGAATTAAGGTTGTTAGAAATCAAGGCATTCTTAGAAGACTTACAGCTGCCAGAATTTGCAGATATCACGTCCAAGAAACGATTCCTAAACAAGGCAGCACAGTTCTTCACAGAACACGGAGCAATGTTTAAGAAGCGTCGTACGGCACCACCGGCAAAAGTTATTTTTGACAAGACCATTCGCCAGAACATTCTCCTGGAAGCACATGAGAGCCTCGGTCACCGCGGAATAGAAGCTGTATTTCAAACTGTCAAGCTCAGATTCTATTGGCCAGGAATGTATCAGGACGTACAACACCACGTACAAACATGTCATCAATGTCAGATCCGCAGCACTAAGAAGGTTGATGTACCATTGGCTATCAGAGTGCCTTCAACCATATTCACTCGAATTTATGTTGACATCATGTTTATGCCCAAGGCACAAGGGTATCGCTATATAGTTGCAGCTAGAGACGATCTCACGCAGGCGGCGGAAGGCCGTGCACTCAAAAGAGCTGATGCTGCTAGCCTTCGGAAATTCTTCTGGCAGGAAATCATATGTCGATACGGCGCCGTTGCTGAAGTAATCACCGACAATGGAAAGGAAGTTCAAGACGCATTCGAACAACTGGTAGACATGTATGGCATTGCTCACATCAAGATTTTCCCGTATAACTCTCGAGGAAATGGAGTAGTAGAACGAGGACATTTCATCATCCGTGAAGCTATCCTCAAGTCATGCAACGGCAATATCAATCAATGGCCAGAAAAGATTCACCATGCGTTCTTTGCTGACAAAGTGCTCACCCGGGAAAGTACAGGATTCAGTCCCTTCTACATGATGCATGGAGTAGACCCTGTGCTTCCGTTTGATCTTACAGAAGCGACTTACATGATTGAAGGATGGAAGACCGGAATGTCCCGTACAGAGTTACTCGCCCTCAGAATTCGACAACTCGAAAAGCGACCAGAAGACCTCCAGAGAGCTGCTACCCGGGTCAAGAACACACGCCTTAGGTCTAAGCAACGATGGGAAGAACTGTACGAGCACCGATTTCTCAAAGATCCCCCGAAGGACGGCGACCTTGTCCTATTACGGAACACGGCGATTGAGAAATCACACAATCGGAAAGCAAAACCCAGGTATCTAGGCCCTTTCCAAGTCATTGGAAAATCAAAGGGCGGGTCGTATGTGATTCGAGAACTTGATGGAACGTTTATCAGGCGTGGCGTAGCGCCATTCCGGATCCTACCCTATCGGGCTAGAACGCAGGAATATGTCCCGGCAGCCGAACTGCGGGAGGATCCGTTCGAGCGAGATGACGTCATGGATACCGGACCCGATGAGTTCGAAGCAGAACAATTCCACGAAGAAGACGAGAGTGATGGAGAAGGATAAGAAGGCGGAAGAAGAAGTCTGAATATTCCACTCCGCCCATGAGAAATGCCAAGGGCATCCCTCATGTGAATCCTAGAAGGCTGAATTCGGGAAGCTCGACAGCGGCCCCTGAAAGAAGCCACGACAGCCAGACAAACGGCGACCGGGCGCAGTACTCTAGACCACCGAAGAACGGTCGGTCCTACGAAAGGAAACGAAGCGCCGCAAAGCGGAAATGCTTGTGGGAAAAGTAAGGAAGCCTGCACACGCAAAGTACCCGCACGCAATAGTCTGACGGCTCCCCCCATACCGCGCACGCACGAATGGGACAGTCTCCCTCTCACCTCTACGTTCGCCAACGTCCTACTATGCCATACGATGAACTGTCGTCTGGACCTAATCCGTTCCCCGGCCAGGTAGACAACGCTCTACCTTCTCGACGCGAGAAAGACCACCAACAATCCATTCATAGCCGCGACCGGCTAGAGCTTCCCAGTGATGCTCAGGATTTCGATACGACCAACAGCGACACCGACTCCAGCTCCGTGACCTTTGCCGCCAATCCAGAATACTATAATCACTTAATGACCAACATCGCTCTCTGGCAACGTCGCTCTACTACGACCCCGCAGCCGGGGGACTTGTGGAGCATCCTCGACCCCGACGACCTCGCGACCATGTCATGGGACGAGTGGATCCCCCTCGTATTCGACTCCCCCTCTGACCGCAGCATGGCCGGATATGCGGGACGTGACAGCTATAGCTGGTCCAACGGCCCACCCCTCCAAACCCTCCGACCCGCTCATCTTCTTTGACGAGAGGCCCTGGACGCTGAGCCTGGTCCGACACTCCCGGCTCCTCCGTTCCCCAACCCACTTATCCCGCGCATTTGCTGCCTGGACAACGGCAGCTTCTCGATCCTCGCCGTTCCAGTCGACGTGGAGAACCCCCTCATATGGACGCTCACGGCACCCATCCTCGGGGACGTACACATCGGCATACACATCCGCATGGAGTACGCCAGCACCTGGGTGTGCGGCACCGTTCGGTCCATATTCCGACTGCACGACGACTGCGTCACCTTCTTCGTGCATGGGATTGTCGTGTTCTCCGGACAGGTCATCAACTCGGAGCGCGTCATGTTGCGCGTCACGCCGGAGCTCGCCCGCCTTTCGATGCGAGATTGGACAAAGCACAACGTTACCAAAACCGCTGACGTGACCATGCAAGCCGGTACGTACGTCCACTACATGCTTAGATTGACTATTGTTCTAATTTAAGATTAAAACAGACGCGTTTAGCAGCTGGGAAGGACCACGGGTGGCGATGGCAAGGGAAGAGGACGCGTAAACTCGTTATCGATTTTTTTGTATTAGATTATACGAACGCAGTGACAGGATATGCGACGGACATCGAAAAGAAAAAAAAGGGGTATACCGCAAGTAATCTGACAAGGAGCGTCCGACACGACAATGAAGCGGTAACCAAGGAAAAACCACCGAATGAAATCTATTGTTGGCATACTCCAGGCCTCGACGGCCCCACACAGAAGGATTTAAGTTTAGCAAAGATCGTCACAGAAGGTCGAATCGATACAATGTACCATTCCTCTCGAGTCACCAAACTGAATTATCGAAGCGTCAGATGAGCCTGAGAGAACATCCAATCACACGTGTGATGGAACCGCACCGGAAAAGCATGCCAATTATCCTACGCTGCACAAAGCCTCGTGCAGAGCGACACTTAAGCCATGGCTCGTTCCCTTCCTCTCTACCAGGAAACCGCCCGTTCTATCGTAAAGACACCATGCAGCCGCTTACTGAGATCTCCCTTTCTGACCGTGACGACCGTCCTCTCACTCGACATGGACCTCCCGCCAGCAACACGAGCCAAGTCGTAAATGCACTCTACACGTCTGGCAGTGAGGGCGCGCCCGCGTCATCGGCAGTAATCACACCACCCCGACTTCGTCGATACCTTTCTATCCCATCATCCCCACCAGCTACGACAGCTACCAACATCGCTCTTACGTGCCAGAGCGAGTCCGCCACCCCCGCTAGCTCGACAACGGTCACGTCGTCCGCTACTACCGATACCTCTACGGGATCTACCAGTGCAGTATCTCGCGCTGAGGAAGATTCAGTCGCCCTCCACTTCCCCCCGCCAGGGCTCACTAGGGCGTACCCTCCTCAAGGCTGTTACGTAGTTGCGCCCATCGGCACGCGACTCCACCCCTACGTCTTACCTCCCCGTCCAGGGAACCTGTGGCGCACTATCCTGGAGGGAGCCCTCGGTAGTCCTCGCACCTTCAAGCAAGTCGACTTGGTCTTTCGGGACGTCGCAGAGACCAGACCCGAGCGCAGCAGTGGCGCAGGCAATTCACTCCTTGGCCAAGACGACTCAGGACTCGATGTCCATTACCCTGCATCCCTCATCCGCGTCAACGCCTTAGATGAAGAACCAGGCCTGTCTCCTACGCTAGGCCCTCCCCCTCCCCTTCGATTCGCCTTATCCATCAACGACCACGACCAACGACATCGTACCGACTATCCGCCGTATGCTATGCACCCTACTCCCGCCAACCCCTTCGTATGGAACCTGATGGCTCCAGTCGGTCAGGAGATTCGTATGGGACTACGTCTCAGTGCATCCCACGGCGAGGTCGCCATGTACGGCGAGGTATTCAAGATCTACCGCCTACACTGGGACTGCACCAGCTTCTACGTCAACGGCATGGTCCGCGCATACGGCCACGACTACCGCGCCAACAATATTATTATTCGCATGCCATCCCACGCAGCCAGCGTCACCTTCCGTCAGTGGCGTTTCCACAATCTCAGCAAGCTCACGGCAGCGGAAGGTCCGTAGGCACGGACACGGAGTAGAGATACCGGCCACTGCAGGGTAGCGTTGGATGCCAATGGCATAGGTAGTACAAACATCGATTAGCCTCTTACGTATAGTGTACCCCCCCCCAGACGAACAGCGACCAATAGCACGCTGATGACCATAAAGATGCCTTGGAGCATGAACCAAACGTTAGGAACAAGAATAGGTATGGAGAGTCAAGTGAGTGATGAAAGGATGCGACTACATAGGCGGACTGGTGGCCCCTATACGTACGATAAACCACTACTTTCCTTGCAACAAGAACCTTTACCATGCGATCAAGAACAACCGAGGGCGGTTGTCTCTGAAGCGCCACCCATGATGTCCCGCCCCTAAAGTGAATAGGTGCGGAACTGCTCGAAAACCTCCATTTTTTTATTCATTCTGCAGCCTCTCTGTTATGTAGTAGTATAGAATCTAAGTAGAATAGACCAAGCATGTACCTTAAATGGGCCCAGGAAAGTTTGACCATATTAGGAAAGGGATTACTAAGCGGTGCCCAATCTTAGTCAGCACATGA